GTGAGGTCCCACGCCTGGCCAGGATTGACTTTTAATCACTGACTTAGAAGCTGGATTCATACAGATTCTATTACATGTGGAGCCAAGGTTTAAAGGGAGATCTGGATATAGACCATGCAGAGATTTGAGATATCCAAAAGACTTTGTCAAGGAGGCAGCTGGTATACATATCTGGGACTAAAAGTAAGATCTGGCCTTGAGATATAAATTTCTTGTTAATACACTTATAGGTGTCAATTGCTACATATATGATTATCTAGGGAAATATTATAGGATGAAAAGAAGACAATCTTTAGAGGCAGCCTTGAGGAATTCAAATCAGTAGAGAAGGTAAGATTCCAAATGAGGCAGAAAATGGATTGCCTAACATAAGACAAGAAACACAAAAGATACATGACAAGGAAGCCAAGGTAAACACAGGTCCAGGCTAACAAAAGTAAATGCTACTTTGGCGCCAAGTATTATGATGGTTGGAAAATATCCAGTGGATTTAGAAAAATGTGTTTGGTGATAATCATGAGACATTTGGAAGTAGAATAATAGATTAAATTAATGACTAGGCTGAGAAATGTGTAAAAAGTTAGAAAATTGAGAGAATAACTACAGAGAGCTCTTAGAAGAAATTTGTTTTTGAAACTGGAAAGTCACTAAATTGGTCCTTAATTTTCAGATGTTAGGTTTACTTCGAACGAATAAAATATAGAAGTAAAACTTAAGGAATATAAATTAAAATCTTTAAAGATTGTTAAATACCAAATTCCTCACTCCGTGAGTGTAGTTTTATTTAGCACAGGTCTTTTTGTAATTGGAATAGTTTTTTAATAGACACCATGCTTAATCATCCTCAAGAATCTGCCACTGTGATTCAAAGATGTTTCATATTCCACTTAAAACATTAAGCATCTAAAATAAAAAGAATATATTAGTTCACCTCCTGGAGCTTTGAGATATTTTAATAAAAACAACTAACACTAATAATGGGCTCATTAACACTTCCCTTTGTCATGTGTAAGTATCCCTGGGTCTATAGCCAAATATAGTATAACCTCCAGCAGGAGTGTATATGTGATTAAGACTGGAATTTCCTCAAGTTTGAAGCAAATCTTCAAAATACTTGTTTGTTCTGATTCATTTTTAGTTAAATACCCTCAAGAAGTTTATATGAACTGCGATGGCAAATTGTACAATCATCACTAAAGTGTTACTTGATGGTTTCTGGAAATTGTCCTTTGCTAAAATAGTTCACCCATCAGAAAGTTGCTAATAAAGACATCAAATTGCAAAATATGCATTCCATTGGAATAAGGAAGTGGTTTTGGTTAAAAATCAAACTGTTCTACAGGAGAATGATGATACTTTGTGTCTATTATTAACACTTTAAAACTGAAGAGTTTACACGGTATTTTCTGAGCTCATCAGTTCACTGTATAATGGAGTATATTATGAAAAACTCGCGAATGCCAAAAAGCAGGAAAATATATCCAGAGCTAAAGTTCTTTCCGTGGAGGATGAATAGAAAACATTATTTTGAAGACTTTATTTTTTTTTCCTAAAAATTCTATTTTCTAGTGATTGCTTCTTGTGTCAAAAACAACAAAAATAACAATAAACTGAAATGTACAGAACACTTGCTATATGCCCAGGAGTATGCCAAGTTTGCATGATTGCTAAGAGCTTGAGCATTAACAAATAAACAGACAACTTAGTTTCAGATTCTGACCTCTCAGTCCTCTAAGCACGGAACATCTGCCACCCATAACGTTGTTGATATAAATGGTTTAAAAATTACCTAGTTAGGTAATGACAAAACACATGTATAGGTAATTTAGAAAATAAATAATAAAATGAATAAAGATACAAAATTATAACGGCAGCTTAATGAATATAGCTGAAAAGCAATATAGCATTTTATATGTAATTATTAAGTGGAATGTGGAGGATTGTACAAAAGACTGGTTGTCATTTGCACTTTGGGATTCCTGAACCCAGGCTCACGTACTGTGAATTGGCTCACTTGGGATCCATTTTCATCTACATTATCTTTTTTATGCAGATTAGAAAATGAAACTCATATTTTCCTACATACCTTCTAGTCAGGCATGACTTTGCAACACAATTCTGACTGTTGAAAAATTGGAAGTCTTTTAGGAATTAGCTGCCTATCTACATAGAAAGATAATGCTTTGAAATAAAGTTTTTCCCCTTCCATCCTAGTCCAGTCTGGTCCTTAGATATGGTGCTTCAGCAACCAATCATGACCATCGGTAGCATTAGAGATGGAAGAAAGGATAGAAGGGACTTGTTACTGATGACACCATGGTGCCATGATACTAGCCCTGAGCTTTTCATTATGTAAGATAAACAAAGCACTCCCTGTTTAGGTAATTGTTACAGAAGGTGTAATGTTTTGTTACCAAATGCATTTTTCATATCTACAGAGAGTGATTTGTCTTCATGTATCAATAATATTTAGAATGATGAGACCTTATATTCAGTTATTTAAATTCTGGGAATTATTCCAAAGAGATGGATTTATAAAAGACCTATATAGGTCTTTTATATTATAGGTGTGTCCTAAAATAAATGAGTTTGGTTAAAAAAATTACTTGCAAAAAGTATTTATTTTGATAATATTTATAACACTGAAAAGTAGAAAAAAATTAAATGGTAAGTAGGTAATGAAAAGTAAATTAAACAAGTTATACTTATTTTATGGGCCATTATCTAGCAACAAAATGACTCTTAAAATGAGTAATGCTAAAAAAAATTTCAATCTAAAGAGAACATTAAAAAATTAATATTTAAAATTACATACAATATGATTAAAATTCCACATTAAAGCAAGTAATCCTAAGGTTTGTGTCAAGTTGATATATGTTATGGAATATTTTGTTACCATTACATTATATGTTTTTTCTCTAAATATGACTACAGTAGGGGTTAAATAGAAACTTGTAAACTTTAAAAACTTTTATTATGCCAAATTTTGAAAACATACAATAAAGAGAATGCCATATGATAAATTCCAATTGTTTCACATATACTCTATGTTTTCTTCTTTTTTCACTCTAGATTATTTTGAACCAGCTACCAACATCATACCATATTCCTGCAACAATTTTAGTCTGTATCTTAGAAACAGGAGAATGCTTTTAAAAAAATAAACACTAAATAAACACTATATCATCATCAGGCCTAAAATTCTAAATAATTTCATAATATCATAATCAAATATTCTACTTTTTCACATTTCTATGGTTTCATAAATTGTTTTCTGCTTATTATATCAATAAGAAAGCAAATGCATTCCATCTCTTGCAAATGGTTGATGTGTCACATTGCCTCATATTACTTGTTTGCAATTTATTTCTTGAAGAAACTGTGACATCTTTCCAGTAGAGTATCTTAAAGTATGGATTTAACAAATTGCAACTTGTTGGTACCATTTATTACATTTCTCCATCAGACATGTATGCCATTTATCGACAAGAATATGATGTATATGGTATTTTGCTCTTTCAAGTTTATGTAGTATTAACAGTCATAATAATCAATGCCAAAATCCACCTTTTATAGAGATTACAAAAAGTGGTATTTTACTTTAAACATTTCTAGTTTTATTAACTGGAATGCTTGCACAAAGAAAAACTTTCTCTCTTCAACTACAGTTATGCATTGCATAACAATGAGGATCCATTCTGAGGAATGCATCAATAGATGATTTTGTCTTTGTTCAAACATCATAAAGTATATACTTACATAAACCTAGATGGCATAGCCTACCACATGCATAGGCTCTACGGTATAATAGGCTATACGATATAGGTTACAAACCTGCCCAGCACGTTACTGTACTGAACACTAGACAATTATAACACAATGGTAAGTATTTTTGTATCTAAACATACCTAAACATAGAATAGTTACAGTAAAAACACAGCATTATAGGCTTATAAGACCCCTGTTGTATATGTGGTCCATTGTTGACCAAAATATCATTATTAATTGCATGATTGTATTTGGTTATCTCAAGATTTCTCAACCCTGGTGCTATTGACGATTTTGGACTAGATAATTCTTTGTCATGAGGAATTGTTCTGTGCATTGTAGGATGTTCAGTCATGTGTCTAGACTCTTCCTTCTAGATGACAGTAACGCATTTCCCTAGATTTGACAACCAAAAAGGTCTCTAAGACATTGCCAATGACCCCTCGGGGCAAAGATAAAAAAACTCAGTTGAGAACCACTGGGTTATCTTAAGATGTATATGTGAAAAGCAGGATGTGTTTGATTCTTTTCCTTTATTTATCCAGTTTCCCAAATGATCAGTTAGTTCTCAAGCTTTCCTTAGAGGAGACATAATAACTCATAATTTTAAATGTAATTTATGTATTTGTATTCACTGTAGCTACTAGTTCTATTTATGCTCATATTTTCTTATTTTTTATCTGTGAAAGCCTTTTCTACTTGGTTTCTAAATTTCTTCGATACATCTAGTGGCCTTGTTTCCTGCTATACCAAGTTCTTTCAAGCTAATTTTGTGTATTTTTGTGTAAAATTTGTGTATTTTCTTCCCAGGCCTGGAGCCCACTATTTCTCCAAGGTCTTGCCTTTTTTTATTAGGAAATATAATTTAGAAAATACAATCTGGATGTTTGAGGTGCTCATTAAAAGACCCTTTCAGTGGACAAAAGTGGGAATACATATGTATATATATGAGACATATATATATATATCACACACACACACAAACACACACAGAGTCATATTTCCAATTCCATTTCAGTATGCATAGTTTTTTCTTATTCTTTAACCTTATACCTGTATCCCCTTTCTCCACTGCTGCAAACTTTAATAACCAATGATACTAACATAGTCACTCATTTGCTTTATACTTGTGGTGGGCAGACAGTAAAGCTGCCCTTAAATTTCTTACATCCTACTAATTAAACCCTAGTGTAATCTCATACACTTGAGTGTGGGCTGGACACAGTGACTCAATTCTTTTTTTTTTTTTTTTAATCCTGCCACAATATTTTTAATTACGTACAAAGGTCTGACATGTCACCCAGGGACCCATTTCACCCACTGCTCTGTTTGGCCGCCAGTCTTTTTTCTCTCTCTTCAGCAATGGTGAGGCAGATACCCTTTCTTCGGGGAAGAGAAATCCATGGTTTGCTGCCCTTGCCAATAACAAAAATGTTGGAAAGTTGAGTGGCAAAGCTGTTGCCATTGGCATCTTTCACGTGAACCACGTCAAAAGATCCAAGGTGCCTCTCTCTGTTGGTGATCACACCAATTCTTCCCAGGTTGGCACCTCCAGTCACCATACACAGGTTACCAGTGTCGAACTTGATGAAATCAGTAATCTTGCCAGTCTCCAAATCAATCTGAATATCATTCACCTTGATGAGGGGATCAGGGTAGCGGATGGTGCGGGCATCATGAGTCACCAGATGAGGGATTCCTTTTGTGCGCACAAAGATCTTTCTCACTTTGCATAACTTGTACTTGGCCTCCTCAGGTGTAATACGATGTACAGCAAAGCAACACTTGGTGTCCTAGAGCAGACGGAAATTCTCTCCCATCTTGTCAACGCTTGTGACATCCATGAATCCAGCAGGGTAGGTTATATCAGTTTGGACCTTGCCATCGATCTTAATGAACTGCTGCATGCAAATCTCCTTTACTTCATCTCCTGTCAGGGCATACTTAAGTCTGTTCCTTAGGAAAATGATGAGGGGGAGACACTCTCAATTTGTGGGGACCGGTGGATGGACGAGGAGCAAACACACTGGTCAATTTATCCAGCATCCAATGCTTTGGAGCTGCTACCCGCTTCAGATGCTTCTTGGGACCACGAGCCATGGCTGCATTAGGCAAAGAAAGAGACAGTGACTCAATTCTAATGAATAGAATTTGACAAAAGTGATTGAATGCCACTTCCTAGGTTACATTACCAAAAGAGCATAACTTCCGTCTTGCTGGCTTTATGTAGTTCTTTGCTGGTTTGCTTTGAAGTAATCCATGTGTTCTGTTATAAACTGCCCTATGGTGAGGTCCACATGGCAAGAAACTGAGGAAGACCTCCCAGCAACAGCTAGAGAGGATCTGAGGTCCTCAGATGAACAGCCCACAAAGAATTGAATCCTGCCAACACCGATGTGAGTGAGCTAGGAAGCAGATCATTTTACAGCTGACCCTTGGGTTGATTCTAATGACACAAACACCAGCCAACACCTTCATCCCAGCCTTTGGAGAAAAGTCAAGTGCAGACACTCAGTTAAGCTGCACCCAGATTCCCACCTTCAGAAACTGTCCCCAGGTGCAGAATGCGGCTATAGTACAAGCACGGCTTTCTATGTTTACTGATTGTATTTTTTCTATGGTTACTCAATCGTTCCTTTCCTTTGTAATTCTGGAAGGCACTTGGGCAAGCGTGATTAAACCTAGTTTTTCTTTTCTTTTTTTTTTTTCTTGAAGCTCCCTTGTAAAATCTTACATGCTTTTATTTGAAACCCACACAACTTTATTATGTAATGTTCATACTAGGTACTGTGGAAAATGGAAATTCATAAATTAGTAATAACCCCAAACAAAATACAGTCAGCCCTCTGTATGCATCTGTGATTTTTTACATCATGGATTCAACTAACTGTGGATCAAAATTATTCAAAAATAAATTGCAGCTCTATTGAACATGTACAAACTATTTTCTTGTCATTGTTTCCTAAGCAATACAGTATAACAACTAGCATCTATTTACATAGCACTTACATTGTGTTAAGTATTGTAAGTAATCTAGAGATGATTAAAAGTATTTGAGAATATTTGTGTGGGCTGTATGCAAATACTATGTTGTTTTGTATAAGGGACTTGAACATCCATGGATTTTAGTATCGGTGAGAAGTTCTGGTACCAATCCCTCATAGATACTGAGGGACAACTGTATATAACACATGCCAAACTATGGAACCTTCTATTGATACAGCATTAATGTTTCTTAGCCATTAATTTCCTTAACCAAGAACATGAGTCTTGGAATTAACTTTGGCCTCAAGTGTTTGTAATCACAGCATAGGCAGTAAGCCAAAGAAAATAAATAGATAAATCCGCTGACGGGACAGACGAAAATGATGTATTTATGTGTTCACTCATGCGACAAATATTTATTGTGTCTACTATATATTGGGTACTTAGAATAGTACTATTAGAATATACTAATAGTAAATATTGGGTACTATTCTAAGTACCCAATATATATAAGTAAATAAAGAAGACTTAAAAATTCCTTTGTGAAACTTATAATCTAGCAGAAATATATAAGCAATAAACATGAAGAATAAGTGAACATCAGGAGGCAGGGATCCTAGGACCACCTTGAAAGTCTGTTAGCCACAGTAAGTAAATGCCATTGTATAGTGGAAGCTGGAAAATGCTATGGAGATAAATAAAGTTGGTCAGAGGAGAAGGAGTACACAGAGGTGGCTTGGTTTAAATTGAAACAAGATAGATAGTGAAGATCTTTTTAAGAAAGTGACTTTGTGCAAAGTCATATGTATGACTCAGGAGAAAACAACTCAGGCTGAAAGAACAGCAAGTCCAAATATTTGAGTGTGGCTGCTATGGTCTAGTAACAGCAAGGGAGTCGTGTTGCTGGGATAGAATGAAGAAAAGTAGAAAGTGAAAAAGACATTGAGGGGACACTGGCTTTTGAAGGGCCAAATAGGCATAAGAGGATTTTGTCTTTTTCTCTGAAAACAATGGAGAATCACTGGAAATTTTTGAGCACAGAATTAATAGTAAATTAGGACAATCCGCGTCTTATTTCAGTCTCTGTGATTCAAAATAAGTCAAGAGCATATGCTCAGGGATGGAGCACCGTGTAATAATTTTATAACCTGACCCTAAATTTGTATGTATCTTTGATATACAAACATATTATTTTTCTCAGTTTAATGTCTGTATAAACTCTTCAAAAATTGAAATGGACGAAAGTATACCAACTAATCAGATCATGTCACATAGTAGTTTTAGAAGTCATCAGGAATACTATGTGTAACACTGCTATTGTTCCTACCTCACAGAATCACTTTGGAGAATTCCACAAGTCCTCATTATCTGTGCTAAAAAAAAATATCAAAAATATAGTTAGGGTCTACGTTAAGAACCCCTGACACAAAAATAACACAGTTGTGTGCTGTTTACATCTTCTTAATGCACAAGGGCTTCCCTAATGAAAGTTCGCATTTGTTTCCTTCAAAAATCATCCTGTGCCATTAAACTAACTTTCAAAGACTAGTCATCTAATTAATATGATTTTGTTCTCTCTTTAGTCCTATCTCTCTTTTGGGAACTATTATTATTCAAACAGTAGGTAGAGCGGTATATTTTTCTTGTTTCTTAAGCTTTCATTTATTATTATTTTCCATTATTTTTAAAAGTGTTCTGTGTTCATCTTAGTTTGGTCTTGCATAACAAAATATCATAGTCTGGGTGGCTTAAATAACAAAAACTAATTTTTGTGCAGTTTTAGAGGCTGGAAGTTCAAGATCAGGGTGCCAGCATGGTCAGTTTCCAGCAGGGTTCAGTTTCCCATGAAGGTTCTCTCTTTGACTTGCTGACAGCCATCAAAGTAAGACCCCACTCATATGAGCTCATTTTACCTTAATTACCTCCTAAAAACCATATCTCTAAACAGAGTCACATTGGGAATTAGAGCTTCAACTCCCAAATTCAAATTCATATGAAAGTTGTGAAGACACAATTCAGTCTTGCATGCATGTATATATACATTCATATACACAGATATACTTGTACCATATTCATACATATGCATACATAGTATGTGCATACATAAATATGCATACTATATGTGTGTGTAAAATATAGACAAATATATATCTATACACATATACATACATATATACTTCCCATTTCCTTTCTTATTAATAGCTTCTTTAGTTCTCTTAAGAATTTAAAATTTAAATTCATTTTTCTTTGATTCTAAAATTCTCTCCTATTACATCTTCTTCATAGTAAATCACCTATTGGAATTTGTCAGTTTCATCGCTTAGTTTTCAAACCACTGGGTTCCTTAAACACATAGTAAATTCTCTTTGTCTATTCATACTGTCCCACTCATATTAAACAAACCTGCTCCTTGAGTGAATGTTAATCTTCAGATTGAATTCAGGGACTAGGAAGTTGTCATTTAACAGGCAGTAGGAAGAAGTTTTCCTTTCACTGTGAGCTGAAAGTAAACGAGTTTCAGAGGAGAGTCCCTTCCTGAAATGTGCAAGAAAGCTCCTAGTTCCGTGTTTGACAAGAGAAATAGAAGTGAGTCTTTCCTGGTTGCATGATAGAGAAATAATTTCACTTTTGAGTAGAGCTCCCAGAGGGCAGCCAGGGTAGCAAGATCAGCAATGTTTTTCCAGATATGAGTTTAAGACGTGAGTAGAAGCAATTCATCCCCTAATGTTGGAGAAACATCCTCAACCCAACAGGTACATTTATCTAGTTCATACATACAAGGATGCCTGGGAACCAAGAATTGACATGTGTGGCACCCCTTTAGAAAAAATTTCCCTCTTTTTCTCCTCCTCATCATTTCTATCAGTGTTTGCTATTTATATTAGTTGAGTCATTTCAATAGAATACATTAAAGATAAAGTCCTCCTATGCCTGTTGAGCCATGTAAGATCCAAGACTCCAACACCCTTTGACTTTATCATTTCTGTTACGGAAATCAGGTTTCATCCCAGTTTTTAAAACTTTGTTTCATACATCTTGTGTTATTGCTATATTCTCTTAAGAAAAGAAAATTTAACAAGGTAATAAATGTTCACTTAGCAAAATTTTCCGTCTTGGTGTTTATGCAATTTTGTATTAGGCATAATTGAAAGTCAAGAAAATTCTTGACTTTCATGAGTTTACTATGTAGTTAGAATTTCATAAATACGTAATGTAGATGATGGGTTGATGGGTGCAACAAACCACCATGGCACGTGTATACCTATGAAACAAAACTGCACATTCTGCACATGTATCCCAGAACTAAAAAAAAATAAGTTCAGGCATGATTAATTAAACAGAGATAATTACAGTAAGCCTGGGATAACCTCCTTGCTGACTCTGATATAAATTCCTATGGAAATACAAAATAATGGAGCTCAGAATGAATTCAGGGTTCACTATGAGATACATTGGAAATGTCTTGAAATGGTTTTAAAGGAAATCATGGGTGTGAGTGGGTGGAAATTTTACCTGGCCCATGCCAAAAATAAGCAAATGTGAGAATAAATGAAGTTGAAAGAATCACTAAAGGATTCTCAAGTAAGGAAAGTTCAGAGATAGCTTAGGTGATAGGCTTTAAAAATACATTAGATTGGATTTAGCCTCTATACATTTTTTTTCCATTTAGTAAACAATTTGCAGTTGACACAATACATCTCAAGATTATTTCATGAGTGCTAAACAATCTAGTGTCAATAATAATTATCAGGTTTCTACAATATGATTAGTTGTATCATGGGAAAATAAGCGTGTCAAAGAATAGTATTCTCTAATTTCATCACTTGTCAGCATTGAAATGGCCAAAGATTCCAAATAGATCCACACCTTTTCCTTTGATCCAGCCTCAGATAAAATTGAAATGGATCTTGAAAAGGAAGGATTTCCATAGCAATGTAATATCGAATTTGTGTAGGAAATATTCTGAAACATAGAAGTGATGCAAAGGACATAGAGTATAAGCTAAGAGCCTCAGTGGATGTCTGACAGAAACTAGTTTTGTCTAATATATATATACACTGCTGATGACTTCCTCCAGTAAACCATGACTAGGAGAGGAAAAAAAAAAAATTGAAAAGAATGATTGCTTTCTCGTGATTCTTTTTGCTACTGATTTAGAAACTGTTTTGTGTTCTTAGCATTTGTAGTCCCAATAAAATAAGAAAATGATATTAAAATAGGTAAACTATAGAAATGCAATTTCCAAAACAGGTTCTCAAGGTGGTTCCCTTTGGTATATGAACTATTCATCTGATAATCTCACCTAGCTTTACAATGTATATACATATATACATATGTATATGTGGCATATATGCATATACATGCATATATACAGATATATTTGTTCCATATTCATGTATATACATACATAGTATGCATAAATATGCATGCTATATATATGTACAATATAGACAAAAATATGTATCTATACACATATACATACATATATATACATCCCAGATCATTTCTTTTTAATAGCTTCTTTCTTTCTCTTAAGAATTTAAATTTTAGATTTGTTTTGCTTTGATCCTAAAATTCTTTCCTGTTACATCTTCTTCACAGTAAATCACCTATTGGAATTTGTAAGTTTGATTGCTTACTTTTCAAACCACTTTCAAAAGATGTGGGCTACATACCACACATGTGAAATGACTTATAAAGGGACTTTAAATAAGAACACACATTCTTTAAATCACATGATTTCAAAAGTCAAATTATTTGAGTTTCACCTCCAAATGACAATTTAATAAGTTATTTTGCAATGTTTATTTTACAGGTAAACAAATAAACAACAGTGTAATTGTTCATGCACTTATATGTCTACAGTAAAAAAAAAAAATTAAAATGCCTCTTAGAAGATCAAGGTACTGCTGTATGATTTTTTTTAATGGATGACTTTTTATCATGTTTTCCAAATTCTATGCTTACCAATTTAGCCACATTTTTTCTTAGTGACTCTAGTGAATTAAAGCATAAGCAGGCTACATATAAATGAAATTTGATACAAATGCTTTTCTAAGTAAAATTAAAATTTAAAATTTTTTCAAATATCGAATTTAAAAAAATATATTATGTATAGATTTCAGAAAATATTTTTGAACCTGCTTTTTAAGTAATGGAAAACCATTCAGGTTGTTTAAAGGGAAATTTTTATTTTATACATTTAATATAATTTATTACAGCATGAGAAAATATATTTGATATTCGTTACTGACCTGCTTCCTTCAAAGTTCTGTGTCCTGTGGAGAAAATAATAGAAATATAATAATTTAGTGTGTAATGTACCAGTTGACTTTACAAATATTACCGTAGCATTTAATAAGCAAGAATCCACTTTCCTTACATTTATATTGTATCAGGTATTCTCTAAATAAATATTCAATGCTTCTCACTTTTAAAATCTATTTTAATATGTTAATTAATTAAACAATTCATAGACACAAAATGGTCTTTGATTGATGAATTAGTCCTTCAGGGAAGAAGTAGATGTGGCAGTTTCTGGTTTTATCATTTTTGTTCACTCATCTACCTCTAGCACCCACAGCCATGATTGACACAGAGGAGGCACTCAAAAGATATATGTCAAATGAATGGTTATTGAATGAATAGCTACTATAAGCATGTGCATTTGTTATTTAATTATTACGGAAGGAGATATGATAGCTAAAAACTCACATTTTAGAAGGCTTCTGAAGTATGTTTTATAAATAGACCTAAAGAAAAATAAAACATTACAGTATTTTACTGGACCTCTTTATTTTAAAGACCCATTTATGCAGTTATCATATTAACTTCTTTATATATCATTTTTTTCTTTGACACAGTATCTTCAGTTTTTCTGTAAGAAAGAAGCCCTTTTTATTAAACATGGGATGCCTATTTCTGGTGGTTTTGTCTGAAGTGGTATGATTTGGCTAAGATTCCATTAATAAACGCCATAGTAAGAGATACCTTTTGACAATAGTAATTTCCTGTGTTTATTTTTATGGAGGGCCAGAACTATCTGAATTTTTAAATTGAGAATGAATTTGTAGCCATTTTAATGTTGGGCGATTATCAATCTTTCTAACAGTAGCATATATTCATTAACAAACTCTAAGCATGAAACAAAACCTCTTACAAGCAAATGTTTCGGTACTTACCATGAGTTATATATTTATTTCAGAAAAAAATTACGGATGGACTGAACAATCTACAATTAGCCACAGAATAATATTTGTTGCAAAAGCCCAAAAGTGTAATAACATCAGACTTGTTCATTTGTAGGCTCCTTATGAGCCTACAAAATCACGTTGTGGAGGTGAATGTTTATTAGCTACTGTCACTAATTTTGCATTCATTATTTGAAAGTCCACAAGACTTACAGGGCAAAATTAAGGAAATATTATTCTATCCCATAGTAAAGTAGGTTGAATATATGGAGTCATCAAACAAAAGAAAAGGTGCAAAACATATTTTATTTTAAAGAAAAAGAGATGTGACATGAACTATGAAAAAAAAAATAATTGTATATCCTCCCACTACATCTTGATTCTATACTACAAATTAAGGAAAATATTAGCCAATTATATATATTTACTACACAGGATTTTGGTCACCATCTAGTAACCAAAAATAAATCCATCATGTTTGGATTTGGTAAGTTAGTTAGCATGCAATCAATGACATTCATTTGTGTTTTATTTATTTATGCATTGACAAATATCTAGGGAATATCTATTATATACCAACACTGTGCTAAGGTCTGTGATACAAAACCTACTTCTGCTCTCAAGGAATTAAGCCCAGTCGAGTACAGACAAATAAATAGGCAATCATAGTACAAAATATAGAGATGAGAGAAAGGTGCTAGGAAACATTTTTAGGAAGTAACCTGTAAAACGAATTCAAGAGGAGACTCCTGGAAAAAATATTCTTCTAAGGAAGCTACATGTTGAAAGGAAATTCAACAGGCAAATAGATGGGAGCAATAGAATGTTCCAGGCAAAATGAACAGTATATGCAAAAGTTTCCATAGAGAGTCCAGAGAACATGATGTTTTAGAAGAACTAAATATACTTTTAAATAACGGAATTGATCCATGGAATTTAATAAGGCTAGATGAATAAGTTTCGAGTTCAGTAAGAAATCTTGATAGTTACAAAACTGACAAAGAATAAAATTGAGGAATTAATATGTTCTTGCATCTTGAAGAGTAGAAAGCAACTTTCAACTGGAAGATATATTATAGAGTACAGCCTGTAATACAGTTAAAATGAATAATTATTAGCATGAAGAAATGCATTTCTCTAAGAGAAGTCTGTTACATGTAATTAAGACATAATCATTCTTCCATTATCAGAATTGTATGCAGAAGTATTATTTTCCTAAAAATATTCCTTCAGAAAAAAATGTGTATAAAATATTTGGATAAAGTGAACAAACTTATGTCTTCTTAGGTAATTTTTCAGTGAATATGATTTGTAGTACACTGGAGTGCAAACATAGCAGTACAATTTAGAATTATAATCAATATTTACTCCTTCCTAAATCACTACAATCTAATCTTTCAAAAGCCTATTTTGGAATGACTAGATTTCAATAGGACATTAGAGGCTATCTTCTCTACCTTCTTTGTATTATGTGTGGAAACCCAAAAGCAATGAAAAAAAGGCATTGGAAAGTGTCAAAGTCTATCTTCAATTTTAGTTTTGATGCCTGATTTTCCAGCCAGGCAGCTCAGACACCGAAAGTGGATTATTAGTGCTGCCTGTGTGTAAGGGAAGATGGTATAAAGCGGGGCAGGAGGCACAGGAATATTTGCTCATTGATCACATAAACTAAAGTACAAATTCCTTGCATGAACAGTATACTACTGCCTTCACTTTTGGTGCTCCCCAGTAGGCATTGTTTCCAAAGAAAGTATGATTGGGTAAGAACAATCTGCCATCACTATGAGAAACTGTAGGAAAAAGCACATCCCTATGGCAAATTGTACTTAAAATTCTATCTAATTACTTCTATTGCTGGTAGTTGTCTGGGGTTGACAAATAATTAAAGAGCCAAAATACTCTGAGATAAAAAGAAGTATGAACACGGCTTACTGGGAACACAGAAGAAGATCACTACCATTATCAATACAAGGTTTGGGGAGAGGGCAGGGGAACAGGGGAAGGATGGTTGACACTAGTAAATAAACTGTTCACACAGTACTAAGTATTTCGTTCTTTTTTTATTTATTTATTTTTTTTTGTAGTCTGTACCAGACTAAATTATAACTCTCTGTGTACTTGTTTGTCTTGCCTTGAAGCCAAAGATCTGGCTTACTCATCTTTGTTTTCTCAGCTCTTAATATAAAGCCTACCACTTAAGAAGCCTTCAATATCTGTTTGTTGAATGAAAGGGATGTTAAAAAAAAAAGTGAAAAGAAAGAGATATACAGGAAGAAAATAAATAAAGAGAGAGAGAGAGACAGGGAAAAAGGAAATAAAAGGATAAAAGAAACCTGACATAATCATGTGGGATTAGAAGCATTTTAATTTGAAGTAACAGTATAACCTCAAGTGCCTTGTCAGTTAGGAGTATTGCAAATATCTCCTCACCTTCCCAGTGTAACAAATTGGATTTGTAGTGAACTCTGCTTTCAGGAAAGTCTCATTGATGTTTGAAGGACCACAGCTATCCACACAGTCCAGAAGATCTCTAAGGGAATTAACATAACCTTAACATATGGATATATGGGGTTGTGTGTGTGTGTGTGTGAGTGTGTGTGTATATATATATATAAATATATATATAAACTAGATGGAAATATTATCAATGTTTGCCTGTTGCTCTGCTTATGAATCTTATGTCCATATGTATAAGCATAGTTTCATTCCATTAAATGATAGTGTGCATTTTTTCCTGATTGGGGGAGAGAGGAGAGGAGAGAAGAGGAGTTCTATTGTGGTTATTTGTGTTTTGCTTCTCAACATCAATTCTCCCCCTTCTGGAAACATCTTCCCATATGTGCTGTGCGAAGTCACCCTTCTAATTATTACATTTAGGTAAAATTTTTTCCATCATTGATTGTGTTCGCTTAAGTCAGCTGGACTGTCCATTGCACAAGTAACAATGTTTGGTCCAGAATAGGGCAAATACTACATTCAGAACAAGAAGATCAAAAGAAAGATCTCCTGTGGCTTCTGAAAAAAGAAAGCTTTTCACTGTTTGCAATGTGTAGGATGAGTTTAGGAGGCTGGGACTACTACAGCCAATTGGTAACACGAAAGGAGGCAGCTTGATGATGAAACCAAC